TCTAGTATGGAAATAACAAGGATCACATCTCCAAAGCATAGCACTTCTCTATCTGATGAGCTGCCCCAGAATGAAACTAAAAATGCAAAGATGATTTACAGGTATAGCCTTAACTGAGTACAGTATTTAGAAAGCATAGCTATGGAGAAATACGTGTTGTAACAAAGGAGGAAATTGGTTGCATTATTTAACAAATAGTTTTTGAACACTCAAGCAGTGCTAGCACAGAGTAACACCTAAAATACATTACTACCACTGCAAGACAGATTTGCATTCATTCCTTCTGCAATCTTTCATCTTACGAGTGCATAAAATGTTTGTATTCTGATTTTCATACACTCAGTTGTTCTTAGATACTGGTAAAAGGATCGTAATCCACAGAGAAAATATTATTCCTTAATTTCTGCCATGTGGACCATTTTCTGATGTGTCTGAATCTAAACTTCAGGGATACTGTCTGTCAAAATACACTTTACGAGAGAGGCAATCCTTAAAGCTTGGCATGAGGGTTACATACCCATCAAAGGGACATGGTGTCTGCTCAGAGCAAACACAGCTGGTGTCTTTAGTGTTGACCAATTGATTAAGAAATGAAAACTTGAAGGAAAGACAAATAGTAACTTGCTGCCTCAGGGTGAGGATATTTCATGAGAAACAAACTCAAGACTGCTTTTTCCTAACTGAACGGAGCAACTTTTGCATGTATCACATTGAAGAATAACAAAATTGCTTATCAAAATTCATTGTTAAAACCGTTTCAGCCAGAAAGGAAACAGGGCTGCTAATGTAACTGTTAAAAAGCATTCATCACAAGAAAATGTTTTACCTCTTAAACCAGTAATAGAAGGGTATGTAAACTGAAGGGATCACGCAAACAACCGAGTTAACGTTCAGCCCAACTGTGGAAGCAGAAACCTCTGGTACAGCTGAAAGTGGCAATATTTTTGACCTTCTGGTTCTTGCCTGCCCACTGGTTTAATTTTTTTCATGCAAACAAAGTAATTGACTAACACAGTTAAAGGCTACACTGTACCAAGAAACAAAACGCGCTGTATTCAATGTTAATACAGCCATTTCCCAAGGTACTCTGAGCTGTACAGTACAGTAAAACTGCATTAAAAGAACTTGCTGACAGGAAGAACAAGGACCTCACCATTTTATTTTGCAACATTTGGGCACAATCCTCAGGTAAAAATTCTACTAAACTTGCACGTAATTTGAGTATCCTGTTTGCTTGAATTGTTTATGTGATCTTTATCTGAAATCAGGGTCCAGTGAGAAAGAGTTTCTGCTTTCTTTCAATTTATACATTTCTAAAAACTTCTTGAGCTTCCTTAACAATTGACTTATGCGTTTGTTCTTCTTTATTTCTTCCCCACTAGGAAACGAGAAAGATAATCCTCCAATTTCAGACTTTGTAGCAGCAGTTAGTATAACTCAAATGGACAGTGTTACTTCATTTCAAACAGGCTGAGGATGTTTGGAATGGGAAGCTTACAGGGAGGTAGACTCTTATTTGAGACTCAGGTCATGTAAGGACCTGCTAATTCTCATCAGGCCATTTCGTAACAGACTTTAGTCTTAATTGAAATTGCCAAGTAAGATTAGTCTTCACGTTTAGGCCCAGAAGGCAATATGGTGATCAGAACAGATTCTGTGAGCTGCAACACTGGGCATTTTCACATGATCCGAGGAAAATTTAATACCACTACAAAAGCAAACCAAACTTTTTTGCAACTGTGCTTTCCACCTCAGAGTCCATTTTCACCCTGCTAGAAGCAGTCTCTTCCATAAACTGGCCCAGTGCTTAAGAAGAAAGCAAGAATAAAATTGGCTTAATTTTCTTTTTTCCTCCTAGTTTGAAAGCAAGATTTTTTTGGCAAGTTGTTCAATACAGACAAGTGTTCGATGTGTGGGACATTTTGTGGTGTTGCAGGGGTTTTATGTTGGGTTTGGTTTTTTTGGTGGGTCTTTGTTTTGGTTTTTTTTTTCCTAACTCACTGACTAGGTCAGTACAAAACCCTCATGGGAGTGGCTTGATTTTGAAGACTGCAGGCCCTCCCAAAGGGGACGTTGATCTCTTCACTTGTAATTCATCATGGCTAGTTAGTTCAGCTATAGAAACAACTCCAGGTTAACACTAGTGAATTTTTATCAAAACCAAACTGATGTAGCACCAAGTGTAAATCACATTTTCAGGCAGGATCAGAAACCATAGTCTTGTCACAGTAACTGAAGATCAGAGGCATTTGCAGAGCTTCCAGATTACTCTGTGGTTATGCTTTGCTGTTTGTCTTCAGCAGTTTTGTGTTCAGCAGTTTCATTCAATAAGTATGTTTTTCTAAGTAACTGTAGATATATTCTGCTTTAGACCCAAGTCACGCTTTTCCACCAAGCACTCACTTCAACTCAGTCTGTCTACAGACATTGCCTTGCTCCTCCACTGCAAGTAAGGCATCTGAAAGAAGGGTGCAGTCAATAACACTTCTGTGAATCCAATCCAAATGCCAGCCACATCCATTGCTCTGTTTGATAGATTCAAGCAGGTAGCATATGCTTGCAGATGTTACTTGACCCTAGACTGTCTTGGCCTTTCCTCCCTCAGAAATTTCTATTAAAAAAAGACAGGACTTGCATCCTTCAAGGTTTAGTATTCGTAATTAAAGCAAAACCATGCTGCAGGGAACTGTTTCAGCACCAGCATGACCTTGGCAGGCAAAGGCTGTGAAGGATCCTTCACATTCCAATTATAACCTGGGAAGTCTTCTCTCTGATTAAGCAAAGCTTCCCAATAGAAAGATGCAGTTAAAAAAACACCTGAGGCAACAATCTGCTTTGTTACAAGGATGTAGATTTTTACAAGAAAATAGAAAAAATTGCTCTCACACAAGGGAATTTGTCTGGAGAGCTGTTGCATATGTCAAGGACAAATCCTAGTTCCCCAAAATACTGTGCCCAGGAAAGATTCATTTATAAGCAAGACCCTCGTAACAGCAGCAGCCTCCAAAAGCTTATCATCTCTCACACCTTGGGCACTGCCTTAGTGGGGTAAGGCTCAGAAAGCACTTAATGGGGCACTCAGAGAGCAGGGGCATTGCTCTTGGTATCTCTGAACCTTGGTAGTGAACACCTGTGAAGGATGGCACTGAAGAACCAGGTCACTGGTCAAATCCAAATTCAACATGACGTTGAACACTAGGACAGTGACACTACCCTGAGAAACATCAGACAAGGATGCCATGGTTTCATCTTTGATCATGTGACATGGGCACATGTTCAAAACCAAGAAATCTATAGTTATCAAAAACATTCATACAAAGTCCAAGGAGCTCCACAGTCATCAACACAAATGAACGTGAGTGAAGGAAGAGCTTATAAGTCTAATCTAATTTTAAACTCTTAAAAGCATTTTAGACTCCATGAGCACGTTGCCCATCAGGCATATTGCCTGACAAGTATTTACTGCTACAGGCTCTCAGAGAAACAGCCTAATTGCGACCAAAACCACACAGCAATACTCACCCTGGTGCACTTCATTGAGAAGATCAAAGATGCACTGGCAGCTATAGTCAGCAAAAAACCCGTAAGGCATTGCAAAAAATATTAGAAGGTGAAGACAGAAAAATGCTTTGGTTTTAATTTTGAGCACAGCCGAGAAAAGCCTTTCCCATTTGGAAAAAGATGGGAATTATGAATGAAGCAGAATATATTTGCATTTCAAGTGACCAACACAAAGTTTCAAAATCAAAATATTTTAATAACCAGTAATTGGGAGACATACCCTTACTCACTAGATTTTGGACTAGCAGCTGCTCTACAGATGAAAGCCAGTTTAACGTAGTGTGAGTTTTCTGCCTTGCAACATACAAAGGTACATTACCCTTATTCTGTAACTCCAGCAACACAGATAGAACACTGTAAATAACATCTTCAAGGCTTCTGACTATTTAAAAGCCCTATGCTGCCAGACTGTGCTATGCAACCAAATACCACCACATGGAGTTACAGAGAGCTAGCAGGCTGTAAATACTGCCTCATTCCATGGTTTATACGGACTTACACATTTAAACTGCTGTCTTGAAAAGGCTACACAAGTAATTAAGACAAACCTGTCCTGTGCTTATGTGGTAAATTAATAGTTTTGTTTAAAGCTGCCTACAGACTAAGCTATTGGAGCATGAATACTTGTGACCAATATGCAGTTCCAGAAATACAACTCACTTAAAACTGTGTTCACACTTAACGACATCTTTTTATCCAGATGAAAACAAAAGTATGTTCAAGAACAAAACCAAATCTCTTATTAAATGGTTTGCAGAATTTATTAGGTCTCTTTTAATATACTCAATACTTTATCAAGCTAGTTGCATATAAAGTGATCTCCACCATATACATTACAATTTCTGTGCATCATCTAAAAAAAAAAGTCACCAAAAAGTAGTATTTTACAGGTTGCAGTTAACTTTTAATTAACCTAGAAGCGAACCCTTCTGCAGTTTCATTTAAGACACTAACCTGCATGTTGCTTCTAACTGCAATACTTAAATTAGGTTTCACAGCAAGCTAAACCTGCATTTCAGGGAAAAGAGGTCACTGCCATCTCAACCTTTGAATTTTCTAGTTTACTATCTTAACACCGCAAAAATTAATGTGGTGTTCACTCCAAATAAGGAAAACGTATATGACAATTCCTTACAACAAAGCCTGCTCAGAATAGATATGCCTTAAGAGAATTAGGAAACTCCTCCAGTAAAAGGAATTCACCCAAATTTGTGAACAGGAAAGATGTTTCAGGTTGTTTTTGATGAATGCTTGGAGCTGCTCATAAAAAGCAAAACCAGCAAGCACAGTAAGTAAACTAGTACGGATATGACTTAAAGCAAAGAAAATTAGAAAAAAAGCAGATTATACCTGCAACAAACACGTCCCAATTTAGAACAATCTTTTAAAGGGACTCACATGGATCATTAACAAATAGGTTTTCTGGTATCTTCATAGGATGCTCATTTACTGGCCAGGCACATACATTGTAAATATACAAAGAATCCAGAGTGCTGAAGTTTATGCAGCACTCAAAGGATTTAACATAACAGAGGTGGGTAGGACACAGGAAAAATATTTAACAACTTATATAAATATATTAAAATCTCAGCAAGAAATGTAAGAGCCCATGCACACAAGACAGTAAATTGAAAAAAAACATTTAAGACTTGACTTTTCCTTTCAACAGCACTGACACCTGAATTCTGGAGAGTTAACAATTTACAGTATCTTATAACAGTCTTTCTCCACACAACCTAAATGTACTGAATCATACTGACATTACACAGCACGGGAACAAGCAGCAGATGCATCAAGGGAACAGGAGCTATATGCATCATGTGGCCTGCCCAGTTAGAGGCTAACATCAGAAAAACTGTTTCTGACATAGGCAGAGATACAATCAATAGAGCTAATTGTATACCTGTCATTTTCAAGAGTTAACCCACAGTATGGGAAAGGGGAGCTTTAGATAAAAATTATGTACCCAGTCTCACAAGTGACAGAAGCAGAGATTTATCTTTCAAAAGAACTGGGTCCATTCTGGACTGGCCTTGATGCACATGCAGTACATTTATTTTCAGGATGCAAGATTAATTGGGAATGTCTGCACTAGTGTTTCGATTGCCGTATTTGTGATGAATGATCAGCAATACCACTCCTAAGAAGAAGCATATGGACCCAACAGTGATGTAAGCAATTCCCAGAAAGGGGTTTTTGCCTCCCATCCATGAGATGGTGCTTAGGATCATCCTTTTTCGTCCATCGAAACTGTGTACAGGATAATCTGAAAGACATTTAGGAAAACAAGCAGCAAGTTTCCAAAACTAGCTTGATGTGGTCAGGCACATGAAAATTTTGGGTCAGGTTCTAAATACAAATTGCTGCCTTTGATTACTGGGATTGCAAATATGAAACATTCAGCTGTTCTTTTTAGGCTAAGACTAATCTGAGCACTGTCAGCTACTTCTAGAAAAATGCCACATTAGGAGATGTTAACACCTTTTGAAGGGGAGAGCAAAGCATGAGTTTGTGGGCTTTTGAAAGCAGCATCAATAAAATACGGGAAATGTAAATCTCAATTCTTGAGCAGATTTTAGTACACAATTTTTCTTTATGTTCATTCAGTTGTATATGCACTCCCTACAGTTTTGCAGCAAAGGAGCTCTATAGTAGTATTTTTATATAGCAGTAGCTGTACAAAAATGATCATTAAGTGCTTTTGAATTCTGAAAATTCAGTAGCTATGACAACCCTCCTCCTCTAGTCTCCTGCATTTCTACCTAGTGTTTAGTCTGTCCAAAACAGAATGACAGATCTTCACCTGATCCAGAACTCTGGCATTTTTCCGACCTCCAAAGTCAGTCTGCCCTTCATTATATATTGTCATTTCACCTTGAAGTTACAGTTCTCAAATTTCTAGGCTACCAACTACCTCTGCTCTTCCCTCTGTCCTATGCTTCTCTCAATTCCTTTTCAGCATCCAAGCAACCCGATTTCCCTCTCAGTATGGAGCTACACATTCTATACAACTAGCACAAGTAGTAAAAGATGGGAACACTCTACCCAGCTCTCAGTACCAGTTTTCAACCGCAGCTCAATACCATCTCTTTTTAGAGATGGTAACAAAAAAGCCTAGTTTGATCTGAACTTGCAAATATATGCCCACATAATCCAAGGCCCTTAGCTGCTTTCAAAGGATACTGTATGTAATATCCAAGGAATATTTTCCAGCCTGCAAGGTAGGCTGTAAGTTATTCTTCCTCTCGATGAGACGATACAGCTTGCGAAAAGTTGGCAGAGCAGCAGTTCTCATCCACACAATGAAGTCTTCATTGATGAAGCCATTGTTGTCGGACTCCGTATCCAGCATGTACACTGGTTTGGGCCAGTTTACAGGTTTTGTTGTGCCTAGGATTAAACAAAAGTAATAACAAAGTATGACAAATACAGGACTGAGTAACACACTGATTCATCAAAACAGATTACAAAGAAACTTATCAACAGACAAGCTGACTCACTACTATTGCAACACACTGGGCTGCTTAAGAACTTGTTATTTTGCAGTTTAAATAGTTTAATTTCTATAAATAAATAGCCTAATTCATGACACCACTGTCCATTTGTTTAAACAATTTTGCTTCCCCTACACACTCCTATCACTAGGAAGTCTTGTCTCAGAGCACTATTTGGTAAGACAGTTCTCTGTTATGACAGCTCCTCTGCTCACTTGGTAGAGTTTAAGCACCATGTCCTGAACCATGAGCAAATAAAACTGTGTACAGTATTTTTTGTGTGTATATATATACACACTGTATATATATATACTGTATACATATATATATATATACAGTATTTTGTATATATATATATGCTTTTGCTAATGTTATTGCAAATACAATTCCACATTGTATTAGGGTAAGGCATCTGTTTTTCCAAGAGTAGCCATCACATTGTCATTTGGCTGTGACTAAGAAAGAAACCCACATCAGATTAAACCTGAAGTTTTTATATACCTTGCATAAACAAACAGGCACTTAGTGCCCCAAGATTATTTTCAGACATAGTAACCAAAGGAAACTTTTATTTGCCAAACTGTAGATAACAAATGAGAGACATCAGTCACTTCTAATCACAAAATATAATCAGCTTTTTAGAAAACCTGGCATGATCTAGCAGTAGAAACATTTAAATGAGAACTCCATATGAAGAGTTTGATTAAACAACTGCTGGATTTATTTTCAAATTAAATCCAAGCATTATAGTAGCTGTACTGGTCTTGACTGGGATAGAGTTAAATATTTTTATAGTAGCTGGTATGGGACAATGTTTCGGGTTTGTGCAGGAAACAGTGTTGATAACACAGGGATGTTTTTGTTACTGCTGAGCAGTGCTTGCACAGAGTCAAGGCCTTTTGTGCTCCTCACCCCAGCAGAGAGCACACTCTGGATGTACAAGAAGTTGGGAGGGGACAGAGCCAGAACAGCTGACCCCAACTGACCAAAGGGACATTCCATACCATATGGCATCATACTCAGCAATAAAAATGGGTGGGTAGAGGTAGGCAGGGACTCCTTTGCTTGGGGGCTCAGATGGTGGTGAGAAATTCTTTTCTTTTGCAGCTCCTTTGCTTGGGAGGTGGTGGTGAGAAATTCTTTTCTTTTGCATTACTTGTTTTTCTTGGGTTTTAATTTCCTCTCTCTTTGTTGCAGTAGCTTGGCTTTTCTTAACTGTTAAGCTGTCTTCATCTCAACCTGTGAGTCTTCTCACTTTTACCCTTCTGATTCTTTCCTCCCTCCCACTGGTTAGTGAGCCACTGTGTAATGTTTAGTTGCCAAATGAGGTTAAACCACAACAGCAGTGCACATACTATGCCTTTTTTAGTATTCAAGGTAAAAAAATAAATCAGAAATTGAAAAAGCCAAACCAATTAATGATTACAGTAAAGGTGAAAAACAAACTTTCACATGAAACTTGCAGCTTTCTTTACTTAAAGACAACCTTTCTATTCTAAGTAGCAGAGCAGTCCGTAGCTTGGATTTCTCCAGAGAACCACAAAATTTAATTAGCACATTCAGTAACATGTTGTTAGTGAGGCAAAACTCATTGGAATCAAAATGTGTTTGAAGTGTTTTGCTATTCTTAAAATTTCACTTTTTGCTTTACCTTGGAAAAGAGCAGTTAAGTTGTTTCCATCTCCTGTAGGATTCCTGAACTTTACATTTTTATCTGTCCACCACGCAATGCCTTTTTTAATCAAAGTAATTGGAGTCCTCGTGTCATTATCGATGCGGTATAATTCCAGTGTATCTAAAGACAAAATCAAATCAGAAAACCAGCTGAAGAAACTTTCATTAGACAGATGATCTTGATAGGCAGTGAAACAATTACCTCCAGGAGGAAACAAAAAAAAAA